GGCCCTAGGCTGAGGCCCAGTGGAGAAGGTGGGTCCGGGCCCCCTACCCTCACCCACACCCAAGGAAGGGAGAACATGGACTTTGAATGACAAGGCCGCTGGGTCTGACCCTGAGGGACTAGGCTGCCTGGGACTACAAGGGAGGGGATGCTTTATGGGGTGTCACCCCTTGGAAGACCCTTGGGGCTGGAGACCCTGTCACACTCCCACATAGATGAAAGCCTGATTCTGGGAGGTGTGCTCTGACTCTAGGCCTTCTGGACCACATACATCAGGGATCTGGGGTCAGGTTGGGCCATCGCCACCCTGCCTCCCTCATCTCTGTACCCAGCTGCATTGCCACCTCTTCCCAGGTAACACACCGTTGGCTGCATATGTGGTCTACAATGCTAAATTAGTTGGGAACCATTGTTTTAACCAATATTCTTTTATTTTTAAATACATTTGACATTAGCAAATAAGAACTTGCTGTAAGCAAATGTTTTGTAAAAATATGAAATATTCATTATCCTGTGAGGGAATGTGTCTGATCATTTGGGATTGGTAGAATTACATATTTGACTTGGCTATCTGGAAAGGCTGGATTTCTTCTAAGGGAACTGTGTTTTGGATTCTGTAAGTATTATTATGAAAGCTGTTTTTGGCTAGCTTGGTGTAACTAAGTATTGGAATAATCACCATTCTTTGCAGTTTGCCTAATTGAGTAACCTCTTTGTGGCCTTCCTGGAACTTTGGTCACAGCAACATCGGAGTGCTATAAAGCAAGCAGCTTCATCACCTCCAATGCCCATTTATGAAAGGATGCCAGTTTGGATAACGATGCACAAACTTGGTTGAGTATGTTCAGTGTGAAAAACAAAAACTAGCTCATGAACAGGGCTCCCAAAGGCAGAATACCACCCTGACTGCAGATTGTCTTGAAAGGAAAACATGGAGTTTCTTCAATGCCCTAGCACTGGGGACAGCATCTATACGAGTGGATCTGCTAAACAACAAATGGCCTTTTTATTTCAACCTACATAAATCAGTAGTGTTTCTAAAACAAATCCAATGTAAGCAATGCCTTGTTTTTGTGTGTTTGGCCCTTTGATTAGTGATGTAAATGAACTACTAGGCCCAGATTCTGTGCTCCAGGATGTCTGCTTTGATCTGCACGGCTGGCAGAAAATGTTCCTACAGACAACAAAATGAGCTATTGGAGATGGATCCTCTGGTGACACAGAGCTGGTACAGCCATAATACCCAGATCTCTCTTCTGTTTGGGACAAGGAGCATGATTAGCACATGCAAGAAAGACAACAGTGAGAAAAGGGAATGACATATCTTCTAAAAGCAGAATTATTCATTTATGAAGGGGTTATGGAAGGAGGCAGTAAGCAGTACACAGCTCACCAGGTGTCTTAGTCTGCACTGCTTCTGACAGCCATTCCCACCCAATGGGAGCTATCTGTGGCAAACAGGAGCTTCTGGCAGCCATATCTGTGGAAGCGCGGTATATAAAGCACCAGCTGCTCACTAGCATCTACCCCTGATAAACCGCATTCAGCTTGCAGGCCAGTTATTGCCCACTGCTGGGCTTTATATCATTCTTCTTTTTGGCAGACCACACAAAAGGGAACTCTGGGGAATACTATTACTTAAATGCTAACTTCTGCTTACTTGGAATTACAAGATAAGATCTATCATTTGTGTAATACATGGAAGCATTTGTTATTCCCCAGTCAATAATTACTGCATTGGTAGTGCTTTTCTGCTTATTGCAATCAACTGCTTTCTCTCTTGTAGTTCAATAGCCAATGACATAGTTAAGGAGAGTACTGCTTTGCAAACTGATGCTATATATGTACTAGCAATGGCTTAAGCTTCATAGCTTGATGCCTACTAGAGGAAAAATTATGTGCTATAGTAGAGTGCTGAAGTACAGTGGTACAACTCTATTCAGACTTTTTCTATCAGATGTATCTCTACAACTTAGTGCAATGGAGATGCATACTAGATAAATAGTTATCAGGCTAACTCTTAAGACAAAACACCTTTTAATTATTTTATCAACAAACAAGTCACCCAGGGACAAATTCTACCTGACCTTTACCAGGTTTCATAGTTGGATTAAGAAACCTCCATTCCTTCTTGGCTTGTGTAAGAACTAGGCAGAATTCTAGACTTTGTTCTCTCAAGGAAGCACAGGGACTCCATGCATACTACCCTCGGGGAGCTATGGCATTGCAAAGGAAGCAGAGAGGGGAGAAAATGGAGTTATGGCTATAGTTCCACAAAATGCTGGAAAGTAGAAGGACTGCAGCAGAGTGTGTGCTTTCCTGTTTACCAGGGAACCCAGAATCTCTCCTAGCACTTCTTCAAGAGTGGGGCAGTTCTGCACTGCTCCTTCCTTCATGCTATGTGCAAATTGCCCAGTCTAGCACAGTGGTGGGCAACCTGCGGCCCACATGCAGCCCAGTGGGGTTGCACCTGAGGATTGTGCATCTCAGGCTGGTAAGGACTGAAAGTGATTACTGCTATTGGACAGCTGTCCACCAGGGCTTGTGAAATGAGCAGCTGCTTTCAATTGAGATCCTACAGCTTTCCATATCACAAATAACTCCCCTTTCCCTCCCTAGTGGTATCTTACCTGGCATGAACTGGCAACCTTGCTGGAAGTCTCAGCAAAGTGATGGATGATGGAACAATAATAAAGATCAAACTATACTGCTCTGAAAGTTTATGGCATAGTAGTCATCATCACAGTTGTATCTGAGCACCTCAGAACCATTAATGAATGTATCCTTGCAATTCCATTGTGAGGTAGGGAGGATTAGTATCCCCATTGTACACAGAGATTGACTTGCCTAAGGTCACACAGTGAGTCTGTGGGAGCACTAGTTCAGTGCCTTAACCACAGAAAACCAGCTCAACATCTTACTTCTAAGGACATAGCATCTCCCAAGTCTAGCAACAGGCACTTTGAAGTGATGATAACAAAAGAATTTCTGTTGCCTATATTGTATCTGCTGTGCAGACAGGAGGACTTCACTGCTTTATACTGTCAATGTATTACCTTTCATCAGGTCGACATCCACTTTAAAAGAGAAATAAACAGAAGGAAGCATTGCAAATCAGCAAACATCATGGGTTGATTATAGCCAGGATTTCATTATGAGAATATCATGCCTCTTGAGGCTTGGTATTTAGTTTTACAAAAAGTGTGCTATAAATAAATTTCATGAATGTTAACAGGACTTTCATCTCAGACTTAAATGGTCACTTTGCATTTTAGTGGTTTAGAAAGTTTCTTAATCTAACTAGTGCCAGGTTTACAGTGGTACCAGTGGCACCACAGAGCTGGGCCTAAGTTGAGAAGGGACTCTGGCTTGCCCTGAGCCCCGAGACCCCACCAGCCCGCTGGCTCTTCCTCCAAGCCTGCCCACGACTTACTCCTTTCTACCTGCTGGTCAGACCAATGCCTCCTCTTCACTCCCTGCCCCCATCCACCTACTCTTCTCTGCCTCCTGGCTAGACCCCAGTGCACCTCCATCTTCAGGCAGTCTCTGCTTCCCATTTGTGGGTACCCACCTGTTACCCTGGAGCTGAGCCACCTGGCACTGGTGCAGATGCCTGGCTAGTCTCAGCCAGTAGTGGGAGCAGTGTGGAGGGCTTGGCCAGGATCTGGCCATGACTGATCACATCATTCACAAGGGGGCAGAGTGATTTCCCTCCCTGGGACAAGCCCTTGCTGCACTGGTAGCACAGCCCAGCAGACAGTCACCTCCAGAGGGCTTCTGAATGCTGCTCGGAGGCAGGTTGTGGGGCACAGGTCTCTGGAGGGCCTGGGGGGGGGGGAATGCTGGGCTGTGAGGGGGCAGGAAAGATCTGTGTGTATAGAGTGGTGGTTCTGTGTGGGGCAGCAGTGGTGATGGTGTGCAGGGGACTGTGCATTTGTGGCAGGATTGGGGCTGTGTGCTCTGGACACACAGAATCAGGGGAGTTTCAGTGTGAGCGTGGGCATTATGTTGCAGCACGGGCCCGTCCCTTAGTGGAGGTGCATTCTGGCAGCACAAAGTTGGGCTGGCCATTGAGTATCTGGCAACTGTCAGTTTGTAAATAGTGCCCTCAGATGACTGGATTAGATGATGTGGGCTGCCCCTGCCATGCCCTGCTCTTAGCTAGTCCCTCACTTTGGGGACCAACTCCCCCATGCCATGCTCCATTGTTCCAATGGGGACCCACAAATACATTTGGCACCAGACCCTGAAAAGCTTAATCCAGCCCTGAAGTTAACTAAAAATATGGATTAAGGTTATCAGGGATTGCTGGAGACTAAAAATATGGATTAAGGTTATCAGGGTTTTGCTGGAGCAGTAAGGTGTGTGTGTGTGTGTTTTTTTTTTGCGTCCTCTGAGCTAGAACAGGAATGAAGATAAAGAATTTTCATAGATTATTCTAAATTAAAAATAGAGACTGAAGTGTATTTGTTTTACTTCATTACATTTTCCTGAAGGTCTTGCAAGTGACCAGCAATTTATTAACAAAGGTTTTAAAATTTTATAGTATACAGAAAATGAGGTCTACATTCAGAGACTACTATCACTAATACCACAGGATGATAGAGTGTGGGTGGCTATGGGAAAAGAAGAATGTAGCTATCACTTTCCTATCTCTGCAAGGTAATTTGCCTTCATTTTCAAAATACCTGGGATTCTAGATTCCTCTCTGGTACTCAATTTTCCAGTAGATAACAAAGAAATCCAATTTCATATTAACCTCTGAAGGTATTATTTGATTCAGGAGGATTTTTAGAGAGACGTAACATCCCCTATTAAAAACGCATATGCTACTTGATACTAAGATACCGGTCCCAAAGTTTATAAGAACTTCTGTGCACAAGTGGTTTCAGTTGTTATTATAGAATGCAATCCCATGTATTCTTAACATGAAAGGTGCCCTTAATTTTGATACCAAAATGGGGCACAACAGGATATAAATAAAATAGATTAATAACCTACTTTTTGTAACAACTCCTTCGAGGCGAATAATATTGGGGTGGTCAAATTGTCCCATGATACTAGCCTCTCTCAGGAAATCTCTTCTCTGCCTGTCCACATAGCCACCTTTCAATGTTTTAATGGCAACTGGAATCTCTCTTTTCCCTGGTGTCTTCAGGCGTCCACTGCATACCTCTCCAAATTCACCTTAAATGAACAAGAGCAAATAGTTTTGTAAATAGACAATTCACATTTTCTAGAGGTCAGATTCCATGATCATAATAATTCAGTCTGGCCTTAGAATTTAGGACTCTATGGAAGTAGGAGCAAAATCAGAAATGCTAAGGTACTGAAGGGATTAGCTGAAACAATCTCAGAACCACTAACAACTATCTTTGAGCACTCATGGAAGATAGGTGAGATGCCAGAGGACAGGAGAAGGGCAAACATAACGCCTTTCTTTAAAATGAGGAACAAAGAAAAACCTGGGAGTTACACACTGGTTAGCCTAACTTTGATACCTGGAGAGACAATGGAACAAATTACTAAATAATCAGCTTGTAAGCACTTAGAGGACAATAGGGTTATAAAATAGTCAACATAGATTTTGTCAAAAACAAATTACGCCAAAAAACTATTTTCTTCCTTTGACAGAGTTACAGGCCAAATGGGTGGGCAGGTGGGAAATGAGGAGAATTGATACAGCTTGATTTTAGTAAGGCTCTTGATATGTCCTATATGACATTCTCAGTTCACAAGCACCAGGTAGATTCACAACTGGTTGAAAGACTATCCTCAAATGGTTTTTATGAACAGTTTGTTGCCACACTGGGAGTATGTATCCAATGGGGACCCACAAGGCTCTGTTGTGAATCCAGTAAATTCAATATTTTGCTTAATAGCTGGGTCAATAAAGTGGGGTATATAAAACTGAGAGATGACACAACATTGGGAGGGGTTGCAATCACTTTTGAGGACAGAATTAAAATTCAACATGACCGTGACAAATTATAGAATTGGTCTGAAATGAACAAAGTGAAATTCAATAAAGATAAGTGCAAAGTACTACATTTAGGAAAGAAAAATCAAATGCAAACTACAAAATAGGAAATAACTGATGAGGAGGCAGCATTGCTGAAAAGGATCAGAGAGTCATAATGAATCACAAAGAATATATAAGTCAACAATGTGATGCAGTTGCAAAAAAGGCTCATTCTGGAATGTATTAACATGTATCATGTGCAAGACATGAGAGGTAATTGTCTCATCTACTTGGCACTGGTGAGGCTTCAGCTGAAGTACTGTGCCCAATTCTAAGTACCACTCTTTAGGAAAATTGTGGATAAACTGGAGAAAGTCCAGAAGACAGCAACAAAAATGATTAAAAATTTATAAAACTTGACTTATGAGAACAGATTATATGAACTGGGCATGTCTAGTTTTGAGAAAAGAAGACAGAGTGAGGATCTGATATGAGTCTTCTGATATGCTAAGAGATGTTTTCCCCAACTATAATTAGGATAATTAAGCCCTGGAATAGGCTTCCAAGGGAGCTTGTCGAATTCTCAGAATTGGGGGTTTCAAGAGCAGATCTGACAAACACCTGTCAGGGATTGTGTAGGTTTACTTGGTCTTACCACATCTAGGAGGCTGGACTAGATAACCTCTTGGGCTCCCATTCATCTTTACATTGCTGTGATTCTATCTCTGTGTAGATTATAGTATTGAATTTAGGCATTAAAGCTTTTTGCTTTTTATGTGGGTTTCACCCACACAGAATGTCCTGGTCTACACTAGGGAGTTATTTTGAAATAACAAGTGGAGTGTCCACACTACCAAGCCCATTAGTTTGAAATAAGGAGCTGGTTACTTCAAAATAACAACTTCTGCTTTCCACAAGGAATAACACTTATTTTGAAATAGTTCTTTCAAATTAGCAATAGTGTGAACGCTCCACGGCTGCTATTTATAAATAACTAATCCCCAGATTCATTCAAAGTATTTACTCTCCTGTGAATCCTCAGGCTCTAAGTCGAGGTCGCACGTCCACATGAAAGAAGTCTACCTTGGACTAATTCTGAGACTTCCCTGTAGTGTGGACATGCTATTTCAAAATAGCTGTTTCAAAATAAGTTATTTCAAAATAAATTCTTAGTGTGGATATGCCCTATATGTATGACCTGTATTGCCCTGAGGATGTCAAATGGGTTGCAACTATGTGCTGATTGGCCACCAGTGACCGGTGGGTTGAGAAGCACTAAGTGTAGACATACTTAAAAGCAGCAAAGTGTATAGGTAAGTCACAGCCATCCTTTGCTCTGATGATCATTAAAAAGGTGCTTTTAAACCCCTATCAAATGTACTGTGGTTTTAAGGGATCATAAGTCAGTGAATCAAAATCAATATTTACAGAACCATTTTTACCTCAGTAAGGGCTACATTTCTATTTCAAATTTAAATTTTCTACTCCAGCCATTTTGGTACCTCAGCCATTTTGGTACTGTTTTTTTTTTTTTAATAGTCACACATAGACAAATATATATTTAACCAAGAGAATTATTTTTTTCATTCTTCAGTCAAAACTGCCTGAATTTTTTTGCTCAGATTTTCAATAAAATAAAATATTAAAAATTATTCAGGGAGACCCCCAAACATGGAAAACTTCAGCCTGAAAGATGAATGTTTTAGAAAATTATAACTGACTGATATTAAGGAGGTAGGATGCAAATACTTGTGCGATCTTCATTTGAATAGTCACTGTCATTCCTGTCCTCTCAATAAATCAATATAAACCACTGAAATCCAGGAAAAGTCAAAGGGATTAATTAAGTTTACAACTCATCTTCCCCTCCACATATAGCAACAGCAGCAAATACAAAACAGCACATTTAAGAAGCCAATGAAGACAAGTTCAGTAGATTTTGCAACAATTAAGAAAGCCAATGTGTTTTATTTCTACATAACTTTTGAAAACCAAAGATAAGAATTCACCTTGTGTGTATAAGTCAGCCGCCACAGGATAAGAATTCTGTTTCATAATACTGTATAAAAGACAGTGAGTTTGCTATATGCTTTGATTGGTTTCACTTCGGAATGAGGCTTTGCCTAAAGCTCCTCACACCAAACTATTTCCATAAAGGTAGCAGCAGATTTAAGCTTCTAGAATTTTTTCCCCTCTCTTTGTTTTGAAGGAGAGATGGAGGAGCTCTCTTTTATGTTGTGAGGCATCCAGAAGTATTAAATTGCACTAAGACTTATCTTTGGAGCACTTTTCTGATGGCTCTTCAAAGTGAAACAGCCTGAAATTAAAGCGAATCCTCCAAATCCTCCTCCTTGTTTCTTCTGAGACACAGTCTGATAAAATCAATAGATAATGTATATGTGAACTGATGCTTCAGGGTTTTTATCCAGTCCTGTAAAGGATATGAACTGTCCTAAAATCAGTGTGGTATCTCTAGGAGAACTAACCTCTGGAACAGCTTTTCTAACTCCTGCCCCTACTCTCCATCATAAATTGCCATATGTCTGCAGCTAAATACTATTGCTGTTTCCAATGTTCCATCGTTCATTAAATGATCAGTTCCTTTACTCCTCCCTTTTGTATCTCCTTTGCAGAGGAGTTTAAAAAATTACTTATGCCTTATGGACAACAAATGCTGATGTTTAAGTATTCTTGATTAAATTAAGTACTTATGAAAGATGTGTGATGAGACACTATCCATAAAACTCATAAAGTGTGAGAAACTGCATCATATGCTACTCTCCTCTGACCAATGTTTTCACATCATTTTGGATGCATCATCTCTATAAGTTAGATGAGACTTCAGTTTCCATGACTATTCAACCATTAGCCTATTTGACAAGAGAGACAATTGTAATTATTTTTGTGATGCTAAGACTTGTTATGGATAGAAATCAACCTTTTAGACCTTTATTTATGTCACGACAGAATTTTTTTAATGATTGTAAAATCAAAAGGAAAACTATTCTACAACAGGAATAGACTCATGCTTTTTCCCGGAGCTAAGTTTGATTGCTCAAGGTGGAAGATTTTAGCTAAACAAGAGAAATGTTGACCCTGAAGCAGTAACATGTGTCTAATAAATAGGAGCTAAGAGCCAGAAGTCAGTGAAGTAGACATCCTTTCTTGCTCAGAGGAAAAGCTGTTGACAGCTATAGAAAACTGCAGCGTTCACTAAGTATTCAGCTTTAATTATGTGCAAATGATCCTTGTTTTACTGACAACAACTGATTTTCCCTATAATGCAGCAGGAAGAAGGAAGTTAATTGAGCAGTCCAGAAACTTGTTCTGCACAAACCATGCAGCCCTCTCTTTCAACTTGTCCAAAAAGATGTTACATTTTGTTTGAAGTAAAAAGGCTTAAGCCAAATGATTGCCATTCTGGAAGCCAGTATAAAGTTACCACATTGGGACAGTGCTTAGGAACAAATACAGCTGGTACTGCTGGAACTATGGCAAGTTACCACCAAATGCAGCGAATCCCATTGACATTGTACCAATTGTAAGGCATTTAAATGTGGGAGTCCAGGTAACGGATTTGAATATATTAAGAATACATGGACTGGGTGCGAGCAAATGCCTTTCCTTAACATATTCCACTTGCTATGAGCAGTCCAAAATTTAGCACTTTCCCTAACAACAATAGGATAAAGATTAGCACATTCTCTGTATTCAGCCTCTGCTGGGTGAGCGCAGAAGCAGCAGCATTATGGCTGTATCTCCTTTCCTTCGTCCGTCGTGTGGCTAGCATTGGTAATGTGGCTGGGAGGAAGACGTCCTTTCACAAAGATGTGTAGGGGCTGCTTTCTGATTGGAACCTGCCAGGCATACAAGAAAAAGTGGAATGCACTGTGCACACTCCCAAGCTTTTTCACCTTGTCTTATGTGGCTTGCAGCCTGTTGAGCCACCACTACTCTGCCTGTAGGTCTGTATCTCAATTACTCTAAGACCTCTTTACATTCCTCTAGCAGTGTCCACACACTTTAAGGCACTTCACACTGACAATGTGTTGTGTAGGTGCTTGCGAATTCAGGACTTAACCTGCGGAAGGAGAGAAAATTGATGATGTTGCAAGAAGTGTCAGTAGGAGGAAGATGGACAAGGACTTTATAATACCTAGGACAGCGCAGAGAATTCAACATGAAAAAGAATCACAATCAAGTCACCTGAAGGGTGAGCTATGGA